ATTGTTGTACTTACCGACACTAATCACTCTCAAAAATCAATGTTGATTGGAGAAGACACGATTACAGGTATATTGTTTTGTGGACTGGTTCTATAGGTGCACAAGGGTTCTTGTTGATGCATTTAGTATAAATTGTGATATTGGTTCTTGAATGGTGGGGGAAAGGGGGTATTAGACATTGTTTCTTTTCACGTTAGATCATGGTTTGGGCTATATGGGGTTTGTTTTTCTTGTCTTGACTGGTATGCACTTAGAGATTGCTTTTTCTTGTTAAGTTCCATTACAACTTTTAGTTCTTTCCCTTTGGTACTAGTGCTTATATATTTAGCTAAATGCCAAAGGGAAAGGACCATAAAAAGAAAAAATAGATTCTATATATCCCAAAACCATGGCGTAACATGAAAAGAAATAATGTCTAACATCTCCCTTTCCCCTCCAGTCGAGAAACAATATCTCAATCCAGGACCAGAACACCAAGGGACATTTCATTCATACTGAAGTCATTACAATACATGTTGAAGAAAAAATAGAAAAATTGATAGCCAATACTTATAACATCAAAAATAGTTGTAGATACAGTACTAGTATTCATAAAAGAGAGAGAGAGCATTCCATCTCAAATATGTGAGATAGACGAAGACCTGTCTCCAAGTCCATAGGCAATTCAAAGGGTCAACATCCATAAAAGAATTTACAAATTGAAAAATCTAATACAAAAAAGAAATTCAAGAAGTGTCCTCCATAATTGAGTCAATTCTTGAAAAAGAAGGTTGCATGTTTTGGGTCACCATGTATCTTGGTTGAAACAGAATTTCTGATGGACTCATAATGTTTTCAAATTGGTATGTATTGTGTTTCATCATTAAAAATGTAAATGTTATGGGTATTTAAAGAGGCATTGTACGTTATTTGATCCAAAAACACGCAAAACCACAAGTTGTACGTTATGAGGTACTTTTCACAATATAGAATGACTTCTTGATTGACAAGCCATATAAAACAATTACCGAATTTGAGCTGTTGAAATAATTTCCTTTTTAACAAATAATTTTCACAGACTCAATGATTTTAAATCATCATTTCCCAGGCACATGTTTTCCCTATATATTGTTAAGGGGCATCATAACATTTAATGTAGAAGCATCAAAAAGCATATGTTGATACTGTTTTCTGAATGTTGTTTATATAATGTTACCCCTCTGCTTTCTGTTCAGACTATTCCGAAGCGTTGAGCAATGCCAGATATGAGATTATCAACATTTTTAGATATAAAAAGCTAGGGCTAAAGTGACATTGACATTTTAAACATGGTAAGTAACTTAACCAAGGGTGCTGATGAAACCTTACAGATAAATCATCCATATATGTGCTAGCTTTGATGAGTTCATACTGGTCGGTGTACTTCTTACTTGGCTTTCTCCCCAGGAGGTGCATAATTTATGACAACCCTGTCCCCGCAAACACGTTCATACATACCTCATATTATAAAATATATCACAACCAGGTTTAACCAGACCCGATGTCGTAGATCTGGGCCAGATGAGGTTCAATGCAAAAAAGGGTGGATTTACTCCGGAAAAAACATGTCGCTAAATCATCACTTATTATTCATTCCCTATTAGCCATCCAACTAAAACATTGGGCTCCATGTAAACCCATGTATTTATTTGAAATAAAGAGTATATAACTTCGACGTAAATGTGGTGTTCTATTTGATATATTGATGTTGAAAGAGGCACAACATTTCGTCAATATTTTCGTCAGTTCTCCGCACCGAATATAGTCACGTGATGTGATGTAACACAAGTGTGACTTGATAATTTTTAACTTTCATGGAACGAAAATACATTTCCTGGGAATCAATACATTCCTAATATTAGAATTGCTTTGTTATCAAAATGAAGATCACTTTATAAAACAGACGTATCTGTGTTGTATTTCGACTTGAAAGAAATATGGTGGACATTGAATACGATTTTTCAATTTGTTGAACTGACCGAATGTAGTACTGAACGAAATATGCAGCCGAGACTTCTCGATATTCTACGAGATCACGAACAGATTGCAGAAGAATTTTTCTTTTTGCTGCGTTTAATCGTTTCCTTCTTATCTATTAGCCGTCAGCCAGCGATCAAAACCTTATATAAATACAAAGTTTGATATAAGGAACAAACACATAAGTGTTTTTTATGATGTTTATTCATTTATCAGCATGTGTATTTTTTCCGAAGTAAATCCACCTTTTTTGGCATTGGACCTTCTTTGGCCCAGTCTACGACGTCAGGAGTAGAACACTGGGCCAAACTGCTATAGTTAAACCAGGTTGTAACCAATCTTGGCTTTAACAAACGAAAAATCTAATTGGATATTTGATTTTTAAAAGTCACATATCAATATGCACTTATATTGAAATTATAACATATCATCATGTTAAAATGTATATCCACAAAGTATTTATTTTTTTGCAGGTGTTATTCAGAGACATATTTATGACTACTCATTTTGATTAAATCTCTCCCTGGATTATAATAAATAGACTACGTTTATGTTGGTTTTTCCATTAATAAGAAGGGATTTATGTGGAGGCATTAAATATTGATATTATTTAGAAGTTCATCAAAACATCCGTTAAAGCATTACACATTATTAGCTCCACAAACATTTTGAGAGCTAGGTACCACACTAGAGATTGTTAATTGTTTTTTTAGACACACATTGCCGTCCATTATTTGCCACAGAGTGCTCAATTTCGATTGATGAATAGTATCAGGATCCCAAGAGTAGAGGAAAAGTCCTTAGGTTCTTTAACATGTACCATAATTGACTTACTATTTCAATTAAAAGTTCCATGTCTCATGGTTAGGGATTGTGATTCCTATGAAGGTTGGGGAGGAGGGTATATTTTTGCTTGAGATCATAATTTGGGATGCTGGTGATTTTTTCCCTTATGACTGGTGGTATTCTTAGTTTCTTCCTTTTGTGGGACTTGTGGTGTTTTCTGTTTAAGTCGGAAAGGTAGACAGACAGACAAGTGGGTGTCTAAAACAGCTTACAATTTAAGCTAATACAACACCTCCACTGAAACAACCCATAAAACATAAGTCAATTCAACAGCAAGTTCACCCAGAATGATACATATAATAGACAAGCAGTGTAGACAAAAAATAATCACTAAGTCCCATGAGAAGAACTTAACTTTCCTGATGCTTTAATGAGTTTAGGGTAAGCACATTAGGGCACTCAAGCTATGCAAGTAATAACTCATCAGAATATGGTTTGGGGGTCATCTGTACATTAAACATACATATCCAGTAAAACCTGTATATAGTGAACAGCTTTTGAGCCAAAAGAAGTGCTCACTATAGGGTCACTACAGAGAGGGGGTTTTATATAGGAGTGAATTTAGAATGTGACTTGAAGCGGTGATCACTCAACACAAGTATTCACTAGAGAAAGGTGTTCACTAAGCCAGGTTTTTCTGTAACATCAATGTTATTTATCAAGCATTGGATATTCGGGGATCTTCACATTCAAAATAAAGTAGAAATAAAGAGGACATTTTCAACACATGTGTATACAGTTAAACCAACCTGTATATCTAAACACCTTCGTAATCTGAACACCTCTCAATGTGAACACTTTTTGGTCCCATTTTTAATCTGATATAGACTTCAATGATAAGAAATAAAAACCTCTAAATGTGAACACCTGTAAATATGAACACTTTTTGCGAGTGCCAGTTCAAGGCATTCTGATTAGACAGGTTTAACTGTACACTATTGTAGATAGTATAATTAAACTATGTCCAATGTAAGTACAAGCACTATATGCGAAGCCTACATCTACAAATCATAAATTATTAAGCCTTAATGACCACTGTTTCAGCAATTATATTTAATATATAATAAGATAGCTATTGGATGGTTTAAATAAGGCCAATCAAAACCTGATTATTGATCTCCCATAAACAACCAATTAATCATTTCTTACACCTAAGCTTTCTAGTACAATTTCCAAAATTGACCACAATTGTACTCCTTTAGATGTTATTTATTCCTAGTGTATTCAAATGTTTTCAAATTGCAAATTATTGTGAGAATCACTTTTCGAGACAAAACCTCTCTGTAAGAGCTGCCTAACCAAGAAAATAAACATGCATGTATTAAACAAACAAAATGTATAAATTAATGAGTTTATTTAAAACAAAATAAATAAAATAAAAGATCATATCAATAAAAATCACTAAACAATACATGCCCATGTCTAACCAATAAATGAAAAACTAAGGAAAAACATGTTCCCACATACAACATTAAGTTTGAATAAATATTTAGAGGAATAGAGTAAAGATGAAAGCTGGAAAGTTCGTAAAGTAAATAATAACACCAGAGAATCCTTACCAACATATGGTAAAGGAATATGTCTAGTTCTTGTATTTCTAACAATTAGTGGTATGGATTCCACGCAACTCCACAGGATGCATCAATATTTGTTTGATTCTTTAGTTGAACTTTACTTGAAATCACTTTAACAACAAAATATAACAAGGAAACATACATATAGCGTCCATTGAGGTGGGACTCTATTTCCTCAAAGTAGCTCTTGATTTTAGGAGGGGGGGGGGGGGTATGGCTTATTGGTTTATTTGCAGTTGAGCTCAAGATAAAAAAAAAAATCATTACCTTTTGATAGAACGTTTCCTAATAATCACCCAATGTCAGTTTTGACTCAAAAATTCATTAAATACATATTGTTAGAAGAAAAGGTAGGAGAGGGCTCCCCTCTAAGCAATACATATGCTATGGGACTACTTATAGTTGTTTATGTATAATTAAAACAGTATATAGATAGAGAATTGTATTGCATTAAATATGCACATTAACGAGAAACATGGAAATGCTCTGATATTAACTTTCCTTATGCTTTCCCATCTCTTCCACATCTGTCCACAAACTTTTATTTCAATTCTTTTGAAAATGGCATGGCAACAGAAACCTCACCTTAGAAATTATCACTGTAAAGCAGATGTAAAAGATGGTTAGGAGCCAATCTTTGTCTATCTACCTGTAGAGGTGTCAACTACAATTGAGAGGCTCTTACTTACAGGAGTGGATTAATTGATCCATGGCTTAAGTGGAAGCTGGATCTATACAACTAGGATCAACTCTGAGTTGTGCACAAGGAAGAAATTGGCCCAGTGTAATCAGGCTGAAATCCCGATACTGCTCAACAGTTCATCATCTAATGGGGCTGAGTGATTAACCAATCGAAAGTATTGTTTCTCAGTATTAATTGAATCATAGGATAATAAAGATAAGCATGAAGATGGAGCATACTGGAATGATAATTTAAAAGATATTCAATTGGAAATGAAGATGAGATACATAATGGGCAATTTGGATTTAATATGGACTGCATTATTTGGACTTTTATTATGCCAAGTTGGGACTTGTAATAAAGTTAGACACTTTAGAAAAAGACAAAAACTATTCCCTACAAATGGAGGGATAACAAGATGTGATGGATGCCCAAGTCGAAGTAAGCAATAAAATTCACATAATTTTAATAGTGGATTGGTCCTTTTGAATCATTATATTTGGGAGTCTTAATTGAGATATTTCTGATATGATATAATACATTTTTATAATTAGATAATTTTTTTAATGAGATAATATCATTTGAGATAAAATTTTATTTGGGATATTGTTCTGATTTTTTTGATATTGGTATGGTATTTTCTTTAATTTTCTTCAACATTTTGCTAATTTTTGTATTATCAGTTAGATGCTCCAACCAATTGCAATGTGTCTTAATTACGATGTGTAAATATGGTTGGATTCTCTTCCTATTCTATTCTACTCCCTTGTTTGAGCCAAAAAGGCATTAGGATTTTATGAAGCTTGTAAATCAGCTCCATTAATGATAAGGTCCCATCTGATCATACTTCCCAGTTTGTATGCAGCACTACAGTGATAATTTTGAACTTTAAGAACAAATTCTGAGCAAGAATTAAAGGGATATTATTCGAAGTAACATGACATTTCAGTTGCATTAATCAGGAAGTTAAAACCAAAATAACATGTTGAGCAAATATTGAAAGCTACCAGGAATAAGCAAATTGCTGTCAAAATCCAAGTTCAAGTTAGTTAAAGCAGAGTGACCCCCAACTAACTTTGATATTTATCACCTAGTCGTCTTGCTAAGCAAACACCGACTTAATTAAAAGACTCTATGTGATATCTTCAAATGAGTACAAGATTCTGAAAAAAGTAATGCTGTTAGGGTAGATTTCACATTTGGTTTGATGTTTATGTAAAAGAGCAAAAGAGAGGTCTGATGAATACTGTTTTTAATTTCCTTATTAGACTCCAGATTGAAAATCTTGAGTCTATTGTTTTTGCCTGAGTTCTTACTATTTACTTAGTCAGTAAGGGTATGTGACCTAGTTTCTCGGAAATTAGGTCAAATTTTTATCTAGGTCAAAATCTAAGACAAAGTTCTAAAATTTCAACTATCTTCTGTATGTTCTAATATTTTTTCTCAATTCGTGTAGCTCAGAAAAATTGCTTTTGAGTGTGTGCTTTCCGTTTTTTAATTACTCTTTAAGGATTTTGAGATATGGCGGCTCAAAAGAAGGTCATTAAAAAGTCAAAATCTATTTTTTTTATTTCATAGGAAGAAATTTGCTAAGGATTCCAAATCTGAAATCAAAATTGAAATCCAACTTCTGGTTGACCTTCTATGACCTTTTAAGTTAAAAGAAGTCATATTTTAAAATTTTTTATTCATTTTTTAAAATAAAAATCTGGAATCTGGGGTCTCTCTGGAGTTCATCAATCTAGTGTGTTATACTTTTACAGAATCACAAATAAAAAGCAAGAGTTATTGCATACCAAGGTAAATAAAACCAGGTTGTGTGAGATCTGAATATGAATCTTAAATTTTGGGATGATATCATATTTCCCATTGTTATGCTTATCTAAGCCAAGTCAGGGATATCGTCTCCCAGAATAAAACCACTCCCTGTGAATAAACACTGTATACCTCTCATTTCCATTTGATGCTGAATATAGAAATATATACAGACAACAATTATTCAACCTGTATACACAGAATTGGACCAGACAAGGTAAGCTCTGCTCTAATCAGATAACCATATAGAACCAGGTAATTTTAGGATCTGGTATTCACTAAATACAACTGTACTATAGCAATATTATATCCTTGTGGCTCTGCATGTTCACAATAACAAATAGGGAACATATGATATTAGGGGCATTATATGATTGTGGATGATATAATTTTCATTAACAAGCTACTGCAATGAAGTATCACAGTCTCCCTGATATGAATATGTCATAAGTATTAATGCATGTCATCATACAGACATAACCTTAAACTAACATTTAAGCCATGTGAAGCTAAAGATAATTTAGGAAAACAGAACTCATGAAAATCAATTTATCAGGTGACAGTCAAGACAAATATAGCAATCCATGCTTCTAATACAGCAAGGCGACCCTATATTAGCAATACAATCTCTCTAGAGTCAATTCAAACTGAAAAAGATTACAATATGATTTGGCAGTTTGATTGATTACCAGTCGCAAAGTTGATTTTAAAATCATCTCTTAGTTTTTACCATTTACCTTGTCCAATTACAATTGATAAAATCTAAACATTCTCTTACATATGGTTCAAATCCCAATTCAACCAAATTCACCACAAAAATTACCTTAAAAGTTTTAAATAAGTTAAAGTGTCTTTGATTTTAATATTATTTCAAGTATGGATGTTTATACATTATCTATTTCCTCCCTTTTTGTCTTAAATTTGCTTTCTGCAACACAACCACTATGATTGTATGCTAGAGTTATTTAGATAGCATATCAACCTCAGGATTACTGTCTATCCTCCAGAAAACATTTGGCATAGCTGTCTAAATGGAAAATTCTAGTAATTTGTCATGTTTGTTTTGATGACTATGGAGTGATTTTCATATTTTTACATTTAAGTACTGTAATATAATCTGTATTATTTGATTCAAAAGCCCTACAAACCATATAAATAATGGTAGTATGTTAATAGCAATAGTTTACATGAGGTAATTTTTTTCTTAATCATATTACAATCCCTTCTCAAGAATTTTTAATATCTTCTGAATTAAGATTTGACAATTGTCAGTATTGTTTCGAGTTTTGAAATATTTTATGAGACATCCCCTAGAATTTCGTTCAGTGCATTTTCTTTGAATTTGCTTAAATAAAATGCTACTTTTTTATCAGAATAAGGATAGACTCATTCTATAGGTTAAATACTCTTACATATCAGTGTCTAAGTTTTATATTTAATCAGAATTTTCTTACAAATCAGTTGTAAAATTGTATAATACAATATACTTCACGAGATGACTTTATTAATCAGTTGTAAAATTCTATAGCTTAATTCAATCAGGAGTCAATGGAATAGTTTTTTCAGTTGTAGTTTTCCTGAGATATTCTTTATCGCTGCCGAGCAGGCATAGTAGGTGAAATGAATAGGTGCCCTTGTTAGTTCAGATATCTAGTATGCTCTTGGGATTTTTTGAAATGTTTTATGATAAGTAAGCATCTAATATAAAAGAAATATCATATAGTATCAAACTTATGTAAAAGGTACCATATGGGTCATATTTATGCTCATGAACCCATAAAGGGAAAAGTATTATCTATGTTCGTGCACAAGGGTACCCTCTGGCCTTCATAAATGGAAACATCCATTTTTCGTAAAATGGTAATTGGAAATATTATAAAATAAATCTGTTTTTAGTTCATTAATGTATGATGTTGTAATCATAAATAGTGTTTTATGGATTTCGCTTTATTCATTGAAACACACAGGGTTAGCCATCATGGTGATGCATTGTAAGAATCTACAAAAATAGTAAGATACTGGTGGATTTATTGTTTTGTGTTCATCAAACAGGAAAATGATGACAGACAATCAACAGATATTAAGAGAAACTATTACCTCATATAATAGATTGGAACAAAAGTGTGGTCTGTGACATCAAATTCTGATATAGATAGGAAAGCAGGGCAAGTAAGGGCAGCATCTGAAAAACAAAACAACAAAAATATGATTTTAAAAATGATCTCATTAAAAAATCCCATATTGTCCCTAAAAAGAATGCATCATCGATCACAAATTTAACAAATTCTATATCCTTACACAATACTAGAGATCAGAATTATAAGAGACAACATGGCGCTTTCCTAATCACTATACTAACAATAAATAGCAACCATGCTGAGTTCAATAGGGCTCAGACACAACATTATTTCATAAATGATCTTTGAAATTGGTAACTACTTTCACATGAATTCTTCTCCAGACAGAAGCCCCGTAAATCTCAATTTGTTATCTTTGGTGCTTGTGCCAATAAGTTGTAAAGCATGAAACATTTCCTCAGATTTGATAACTCTGAAGAAGTTCATACTGAACTGGTTAGCTGGCATATATGCTATGTTGATAGATAGGTTCATCATAGTATCAAACTCCAATGATTAATTGTATGTAACACCCTCTACAGCTTATAGTAAATGAGTTTTGCTGAATGTACCTGCTACAACTTATTTTAGTGAATCAGAATATTTAGCAGATTCCTTTTCTTGAAATCTTGCGATTATAATCAAATTATGCTCACTTGGTATGTAAATGTAACTAATTCAGAAGCAATACTGATGCCACTTTGATGCTGATCAAATGAAGTGTACATAATAAAATACTTGATCATCTTGCCTTGTTTAGTGTCAATGTATTCTGTAGCTCTAAGGCAGAATCCTAGGATCTTCTTAGTTCGAACTTGCTCTTTTGACTAAAGTAAGAGGGAATTTAGAGAACTATAAGGTGAAATTATTTATTTAGAAAACAATGTGACGTGTAATGTAATGCCTTTTTCGAAATAGGTTATGTTGAATAAATCTGTTGTGATATCCATGTTGAACTTTAATATTTCAAAACCACATAAGTGAAAATAAGTGAAACAGCATATTTATATTTGGATAAATTATTCCTTTAAAATCAAATTTCTTTATTCCTCTAGAATCCATTCCAGACATTATCCTTTAGGTATTAGGAAAAACATCATCATCAAAATAATGCAGTAGCTGTATAATTACTGAAAACTGGACATATTGCTAAACTGGACACCAGCTTTACAGTTATATATGCTATAAACTGAGGCTGTTTAAATTACTAACACCTCTTTCAGTAATGAGCTAAGATGTTAGTTTAAGCAATTTAATGCCAGTCTGGTTTGCATCACCGTATCTCATATATCACTTGCAAAGTAGCTAACTAGGTGAAAAAGACCTAAGTTTCCACCTGTGTATTTTGGTGAACCATTTGGAATAGATAAAAAGTAATGAATGCTTCTTTGGTTATTTCTCATCTAGCCGAATCGCTCTAATCTCAAATCATGCAGTTTAGTGCTGATATATAAGCAGTGATTCCCAAAATTTTGAAAAGTAAACATTTTCAGGTAACTACGTCATCTATGATCAAATTAGTTATAGGATCTAGGAACGTTTATCGTATCTAAGTTTAGAATTTCAAATTAACAGGGACATGACACTCAAAACCAGCCCCTCCACATGCGTAAACATTTAATCTTGGAGAAGATTTTTATCACTTGTTTTATGAAAACAAACCTATATTTAGATGGATCAAGATGTATGATACATGTATCAGGCAGGGAAGGTAACCTTTCAGGGAAACTGAAAACATTCTTCAAAATTGCATTAAAAATGAATAAATTATATTTTTTGCTATTTAAGGTAGAAATTCTGTGAAAACAATAAAGTGACACATAAAAATATTTCATGAATCCAAGACATAGATATCCTGAACTGAATTTCTTAAGAGCGGAAACAAGAGTTGTACTATGGAAGGTTTTGCAAGAGATATCTTGAAAATATGTAACATCAGAATAAATACTTAACACATCAACAGCTGAAAAGGTTACTTGAGTTTTACACTGATCTGTTTTGATTTGAAATATTATCTTAAAGTACAAATATTGATATCAATATCTTGAACAACATTATTTTAAGGAATATCAAATCAAACGGACATCTTCATATATACACAAGAAAGAGATGCAAGCCCAACCAGAAATGTTACATCCTGAGTCCTTGTGCTGTTTCGTACCTATTGCGAAAGTTATGCTGTTTTCACCAGTTGAATATAGTGAATTTTGATGGTTTGTGCAATCAAATTTGAATAAATTATGATTTTGCTATTTTTAATCTATTTTATCATTTATTTTGAGAACAGTTAAGTAACTTTTCAAATCCATGCATGTACATGCCTTTATCAGGCTCATTATTTCTGGACAGGACCAGGACAAGTTTTAAGATATCAATCGAGAGATCTGCAACCATTCTAGGCATGAACCAATGTTCAATCTGGTAATCAGAAATCACAGATCTGGAACTAAGGAACGAGTCTCTGCTCAGACAAATCACATAAGCTCCCGTCTCCAAATCGAAGTCTCTAAAAAGCTTAATAGACTAAAATAGCAAAATCCTAATTAGACCATTGCTATTTTACAGGAAAGTATTTTCACATAATTAACAATAACAAAACAAAACTATCTGTACACACATACACAGCATGTCCAATGAACATTTCTTTGGTTGCTTATTCACACCTAGTTAACAGAAATGTATGATTCTTGTAACAGCATGTCAAAACATCCAGGTAGTGAAAAAGCTAGTAAAATTTATTTATTTTTAACCAATATACATGTTACTTGTATGAAGCGGCTTAGATGTCTCAGGTTAAAGAAATATTAAGTCATACACAAACTAGAAAAACTAGACTCCTTGGGATAACTTTATTTATTATTCTGAAGTTTGCAACTGCCTTAATCTGATGATGCCAGGGGAGTTCAATATATAAACTGATCATATGAATCTTGATATCATACTTCCAGGTATACCTATAACTTACATTAATGGGATAGTTAAAGGCTGAGTCTTACAACAAATAGATTTTTATCGATATTGTATAAAATATGAAACATAAAGCTTGGTATGTAAGCATAAGTGCCAGAGGGTAAACAGCAAGAAGTATTAATGATAGAAAAGGTGCATTTCAGACTACAACTGGTCATGGGGTAACAAATCACCAGAATCTAAAACAATGATATTATGACAGATAAAATAATGTGTGTTAACATCCCCTCACACTACCATTCAGAAACCTCGATAATAAATCAACAACAAAGACAAGAATCTGATATTGACTGACCATGGTAAGTTCTTAGAAAAGATGGCTTGAACTGGGTTTGAAAAACTAAGATCACACAAGCTTTCATATGATTGTAGGGATGCCTGAATAAAGTCACAGGTGGCCCTTTTTAGAGCAATAACATATCACATAATACATAACATAAAACATGATATAAATATTTTGTTGATTTCCGTTGGTATAGTATAGTTGCGTCAGTAAACCAAGTTTTGCCAAAATATTCTGAAAATATCTATTCTATATTTTCAGAATTTAGAGGTTTTATTGGCAAAGGCAACAGGTGATTCTCCCAGTTGTTCTTACCAAAATTCCCAGTTGTTTTAAGGAATTTTGCAACTGTTTCCATGTTAAAATTATAATCTCAAATAATATTCATTGTTTTCATTAGTTTTTCATGTTATAACCTTTCTACATGACATCCATTATTTGAATCCCAATCCTAAGTGTCAAGGCACTGATGGAGGCACCGGGGAATACAGTTGCAGACTTGATATTAATCACTAAGTGAACCAAGACTACACTTTAAAACAAAGAGCATATGATCAATAGGGCATTCCACAACAGTCCAATTGAATTTAGAATACCAAACCTGGAACATGTTCACACCAAGGACCAACACATCACAGTGGGATATAAATAAATCTTTGTCATATCTCATGTAAATAGCCAAATTAACTCCCAGAGGAAATATCACCATTAGAGAAGTCATTATTGCTAAGTAAAAGAATGTAGGAGGGTTCTTATGCAAAAGGAACCACATGTGATGTTTGAAATACAGGATATCCTAGATGCCATTTATATTAATCATTCAGTATGTGCACCTTAATTGAAATAAAATAAACAATAACTGGCCAAAGTAAACATAGAGATACTAGGAGCCAGATGCAAGTTATCCCACTTAATTAATGAGTAAGATTTAGCCAACTAGTATTTTTGGCACATTTGATATTTACAGTTAAGTTAACATGTTAACTGCATAATATATATTTATGTCGTTTATATATAAACATTCTGGGAATAAGATATCGAAAAACTCTATTGTATAATAAATTAAATAAGATTCGGGCAGAAGGAGATTGTTACTGTGAATTTCATAGGTCAATCCTAAATTTAGCAAATGTGATTCTCGAAGCAGAAATGAGTACATTTTGGAAGTGCTGAAAAACTATTGTTTCATAAGGACCCATGCCTTGTCTGTCAAGGAATTATGATAGATGTATTATGTCAAAAAGGATTACCTTAAAATATTAGATCTACTTAGTATATTAGTACCAATCATTGCTAATGTCAAACTGTTGTACATCAAACTTGCTAGCAAGGAAAGCTAATTTAAAATTGGAAAAGCTGTAACATTGATTTCTGATATCCAATCATGCATATTGTTATTATGGCAAAGATGATTTGCTGATCTCATGTCAAATATTTGATAGAGAGGTATCATCTTCTTAATTTGTTTGATATGTTTGATAACAAATAGGGCACAGGGTGAACAATATTGTACCGATATATTAAAAAATTGAAATATCAAATCAATCAATTAACGTTTAAGATAGAAAAATGATATATGCATGCACAAATGCCAAAAGGAAAGAAACAAAAAAGTTACAGAAAAACCGCAAGATAAAGGAATTATCTACACCAGTTATAGGGAAAACAAACCCAAACTATCCCAAATCATGTTCTAAAGTGAAAAAAGAAGCAATGAGACACCCCCACCCATAGCCTTATCTCCCACTAAGCTGACAATACTGAACCTTATAATATTCATAGTGAGAAATAACAATTGCTTGATAAAGAAAAACAACAGAACTGTGAAACATGAACCATATTAAACAACCATTTATTAATTCAAAATCGATCCTTCCCACCATTTGAATTATATCAATTATATTTTCTGTCCTCAAATTTTCTCTTATTCCCTAATGTCCAACATTATCTTTACTGAGGTCACTGTGTTTTAATATCATAACATTTTGAGCTGTCTCAATTTTAATGGAAATATTGGCAAAGGTGAGAGGAGATTCTACATTACAGAGAATCATTAATAACATGTAATTTGATTATAACCTACATAATAATGTTTTAATGCTGTCTTGACACTTGTGTTTTGCAGTTCCAGCCAGTATAATTGATGAACAGTCAACTGGTGATGTAGTTAAACGAGAAGGAGAAACGGTAGTTCTTGTATGCAATGTCACAGGAATACCTGCCCCTGATGTTACATGGTATCGTAAATCAATTCATACCACATCCCCTTCAGTACGTGAAAGTAAGTATGAGGTTTTGAATAAAAAAGCACATATTAGCATGAAGCAGGCGTCACTTTGTTCAATGTGGGATGCAAATAAGTTGTCATTGAAAGAATGGAAATGTATCTGAGATGTTTGACTGATAAAACACAGAAAACAATAGAATTATAAGTACATTTGGTACATATACAATTCAATCTGGAGCAATTATCTAAAATGGTTCCCATTTTGTTATTTGGGAGTTATCTTGTCTTCTTTTGAATTCTTTTCTCCATGGTTGAGTATAAAGCTATAAGGAAATTCTAGTTGTAATAGTATGCCTGTAAAAGATCTCTGAGAGGGACAGTAATCCCTGGTGGTCATAATATTACACATTTGCATAGAAGTTCTCTTCAAAATGTATAGCTTAACCTCTCCAATAATATTTGAAGAATCATGTACTATATAGACAAGAAATATATAAACCTGACCAGTGGTTTAAAATAATATTCAAAGAATAAACTTTTCCTGTGAATTCATTTACAGATTTTGAGACAAAGTATCCATTTGCAATTCTAGTTTGCGGATGTCAAATAAGAATTCAGGTGAAGACAGGATTCGAATCAATATGGTGGGACGGAATCTGTCTAAATCCTGACATGAGTGCATTAGCTAGTAATCAACATGATGAATTTACCATCTCTTTTCCATTTCAAATACATTTCCATATTACTATGGTGAATTCATGGTAGCATTAAAGTTGACTTAAAGAGACAAGGATAATACACTTTGCACTGTGAGCTATTGCGGTGGGACTAACGTCAGAATCAATGATACATAGAGTGACACTTCTGAGAGTAATAATGAAGGAGTGTTGTTGAACAGAAGTGTTTTAAAATATAGTATGTGTTGATATAAGGGTATTCTCAACAGTCATCTTATAATTGAATATAAATGTTTACAATAATACACATGAATTCATCATTCGGATCATGCACAATATGTCCTCTTTTATTGCCATATATAATCAAATTGTTTGAGATTTGATAAATGAATTTTTTCAAATAGTCAATTATATTCACATTCAGAGCCATATTCATATACAAATTTTTCTTAAGTACAGAATCTATGACAAATGGTTATAGTGCTATATGTTATTGTGGAAAGCCCTGCATGAACATTAAGCTGTGTCAAATGTTCATCAGTCATGTTAGTATGTGCGTTCATCTCATCTTCTTCATGTGTTGTAATATTACATGTTCCTGTTCTGTAGCCAACTCTTTCATTTCACTTTACAATTGCATCAAATGATGTAAAAGACCTTTATTGCACTTTTAATGTTATTTATATACTTCTCTGTGATTCATATCTCAAATATTCAAAATCATGTGCACTTTGGAATATTTCAGTTGAATCATAAATGTATACCATTGTTTCTGAAATCTTTCAAAGTGATTCTTGTGTTCAACAGCTACTTAATGCTGTTATCTGAGATGGGAAGAATAATATTTACAAAAGTATTGAAGCTCACAATCAGATATATGACCCGAACCCTCAAGACAAAGACATTGAACAAAACCACAATAAAGATAAACCCAATGTGTGTAAAACAAGAGTTACCTTATCATTGGTATTTATTTCAGAAGTCATAGATGGCAATTTCACTATTTTGCAATTTCCATTTAGATCCAGATTCTTTGTTAAATCGGTTTTGTCAACTATTATATTGTTGAAGAATCATATATGAAAGAATTAATTTAAGACAGCAAACATTTAATTATCAGTTACTGCGCTATGTAAGTTCATGTGAAATATTACTTTGTATATTTGGTGACTATGTATATCATTTAGCTAAATTACATGAAAGCAACAATAAATCTTCAATACCAATTAATATGAGCATATTAATATCTACAGCTTATTATGATATGTTTTTGAGTGTGAGATTCACTAAGAATGTAAAGGATTACTCTTTCCTCACATGATTGTAATGAAAAGATCTGTCAATCTTACAGAATGCCCACTGCCAATGAGTAGTGACTCTTCTGACAGTAAGTGACCATGTTGCCATAGCAACGTGTACTAGTGCATCATGGTAGTCAATAGCCTCCCCTATTGTCACACAAAAGATGACGGGACACTGTGCACAACTGACATCAAGAAATATATTCAACTGGAAAATGTAATATAGGATCTAATTTCAAAATCGTTGTATCAACTAATCATTTTGTGATATTTTTCTAAAATTTAAATTCCATGCTGCGATGTAATATCTTCAAAGCTCTCCAAAGTTATGTATTACTGTTTAAGTAATTCTGCCTAAAATTGATCAGGCAAAATCTTGTTTTCAGTTCTGCATTACAGTGTTCACTCATATGATGTGAGGTCCCTATGTATATGTTGTATAATGGTGCTTGGCTAGGGCCAATAAGTACCAACTATAGATCTACTCTTAACGCTACATTTTATTACCTATAAGTACCTTATATAACATACATATTGCTACAAAATCTAAAATAATTTTTAACAATCACTGCATTTGACCCTCTCCAAGTTAAATAAATTTCCTATGATTTTTACTGATGCATTCCATTCATCACATCATATAATGCTTATTCTGTATATTTGTGAACTGACCACATTCATCATCCTTGTAATACGACTTCAAGTCCCTTTAAACATAATCCTAGCTCTAGATTTGCTATTGACATGTATTACATGTGAACTAATGATTGGAATGAAGGCTTTTGCAAATGGTGTTGGGGCTGTTGCTTATTTTGCAAATGCTATTTTAGTGTGCGATTTTTCATTTAATGGTAAGTTGTGTATGGGGAATGGTATTAATTAAAAGCTATAATAATTAAGCATTAATATTTTTAATTAAGAAATAACAAGTTTAGACACTGTATTTAAGAAATGTTTTAAATAAATTAGTTTTTTTTAATTGCATTGCGTTTCTTTTGAGCATGTATTTGTTCAATGTTTGCAAAAGTGCACTTCAAATGTTGATATTTAATTCTTTAAAAATGGATGATGACTTAAGAAAAAAAATATGTTCACTGCTCATAATTTTTGTTAAAATAAAAATGTTTAATAATTTCTAACTTGTCTCATTTGGATTATTAGACATCCATACAAGTAAGTTAATTGGATGATATTTTAATTATTATTGAAACCTGTATTATGACCCTAATCAAACCTGATGTCATACAGTAAAACACTGAGTATAACACCTTTAGAACACTACAAAAACAGTTGCCTTGCTTACAGAGATTCATTAAAATATAGTTAAAGCTCAGATTTCAAGTTGAGAGGTGTTCCACTTACATGACAAGGGTTTTTACTATTAAACAGTAGTTTTACTGTATATTGTCAAAATCAAACAAAGTTTTGATTTGGGTAACATAATATATATTGTGCAACTAAATGGCATGCCAGTGTAAACATGTTTTGCAAACATTAAGCATTACATTATATTTAAGAGTTAACACATTTACATATCAAGCATTTTTATTTTTTTTAATGTTTTTACATAATAAACCATTCATTAACTTTATGCAACATATATGAACCATTTACCATTTTTCACTGTACTAAAATAACAGATAAGTCTGAACTTCCCATACACATTAAAACTGTGATATTTAAACCATCTATCCAATACTCCTGTACAGATTCCTTCTTTTCATAGTGGGCCTGCTTGTTGGAATGACCTCTCTATTCTACTGAACCACACCCAGAAAATGTTATGTGTTAATTATAGTATATACAACCATGTTACGTGCTTGTTTATTTTTTCCATAGAATTTATTGTATGCATTTTACTTCTTAATCCCTAATGCCTGATCTAAATAATAATTATGTTTGACAAATAACTATACAAACCCCAACCCTGGTCCATCCATCAGAAATGGCCATATTAAAAGCATGCAAAATATATTCCTTAAAGACATCACTTCTGTCATGAATGGGATGTAACATTTGAGTCCTGAAAAATGTTTCTATCAAGAGGGACATATGATAAAGCTTTAATTTAGACTTATATAGATACATGTTAGTGCTTTTTATTGTATTATATTAGTTCATATTTGCCATGGTTTACTGCTGTTACATGTTAAATCTAAATGTTACCATTACCAAGTTTTATTACCAACTGATAATGATGGGAGCAAATTAGAATAATAACTGAACATCTCATTCATTATTTTGACGTTGCATTTCAGAAATTGGACTGACTGGGGAAATGCTGATAATCACTAATGCGTCCCGCTACTGTGAGGATACGTATGAATGTGTGGCAGACAATGGGGTAGCAATGCCAGATAGCCGCATAATGAATGTCAAAATAGAATGTAAGTCATGTTCAGCTTCGTTGTAATCAATGATATGATATGAGTGTTCATTATGAAAATATTCTATATTGAAATGAGAAGGAAATACAAAGGCCAGCCAGAGAAAGTATAAAAAGAGATTGAGTTTGAAATAATCATCAAATAAAACAATATGTATCTATAAATATCCATTTAGTGTTTTGGGGTAATTCAACATTAGTCATTTTGCCCTGATGATACTTAATAATCTCTCACAATGCATTATTCATTTGACAGTTGCCCCTGAAATACATCTTCCAACCAAGACAATGGGACAATACAAAGGCAGAGACACTGTAATCCTTTGTAAAATCACTGCCCATCCACATCGTATCAACTTCTGGGAACTAAATGGTAGAGAGATCCAAACCCGAACTGGCAAATACCTAGTAGAAGTGTATGATGGCACTGAACCACATGAACAAGTGATGAGTCTATCTATTAAAGACTTAGGGCCAAATGACTTTGGGTGGTATTCATGCATTGCTGCAAATCAGTTCGGAAAAGCCGCAAAAGACATGAAATTATATGGTAAGAATGTAGAACATTTTAATTTCTCAAAAACAAATTAATATTAAACATACACTGATACATAAATATATCAAATGAAGATTTTAGAACCAACGATAATTGCAGATGTTTAAAATATATTAACTAATTATTTCTTCCTGCTCCTAGAACTTGAGGTTCAAACAACGAGAAATGGTGAGCATATTAACTCTTTGTTGTAGAATAGAACTGGTGTATGTTGTCATACTAACATCACATTTAGTTTAACATCAAGCCTGTAATTGGACCACATTATGGGACATAAATATATACAAATGTATTACACTTTACAATCTATAATATGGTCCATATACCATTTTAATATTTTGCGGTTTACTTTTTCACATTCTGGGATAGATTCTCTATAGATATCTCTATAGAAACTACAACTGTTGTGATCATTTCAATTTAAAATATCTTGGACATTTTGAACATTTTAACTAACAATTTTACAACATTAACTGTTATGTATCAATATGACATCATATTTTTTGTAGTTAAATACAATAATACGTCTGGTAAAACTCATAATATCCTACTCATTACTTAACAATATGCATGTCTAGAATTATTTTGCTGGTCCAATATATAAAATCAAATACATAATTTTCAAAAATGACATTTTATAGATAGCTTTTATGCAATATCAATATGAAAACTATCATCAACTACCATATTATTTTGCTTTGATGTATAGTGGACCTTACACAATTTTTATTTGCATTTTTATACTAACTTGTGACATACATTTCACTATGACCAATTTTCGTTTAAATTTGAAATTTTGCATGCCCCGAGCTTTTTCAATATTTCATACACAACTATCCAAGGAGGATTGGCTCCCAGGGACGCAACTGAATATTTTCCAGCAATGGGGATGTCAGAATGTAATTATTTTCTGAAATTATAACCAGCTATAAATCATAATCATCAGTTCAAAGTTTCAAACCAAAATCTTGTATCACTTCTTGTGTATTTTAGATTTTTTGTTTTGAAATAAAAACCAAAACTGGCGATTTAAATTTTGTAGTGAACAAAATGGCGGCTATTTGAATTCAAATTTTGTAATCATGACAACTCCATATATGGCAGAATATTGAGTTGGAAGCCTGGGATCCAATCCTCCTTGACTATCAGTGTATATAATAGTTGCATGTATAGTGAGTATGTACAAGTATGATATTCAAAGATTATTTCAAATTACTATAGTGATGCCAACTATGTATAAGAGTTATGCCTCTGTAACACATTTTAAGTAATTTAAACTAAATAACTGTTATGCATACACTATTGTTAGTGAACATTTTGCTTTGTAAATCGCATATCTTGGTACAATAGAAGTTTTGGAAATATTGAAGGGTATGATCCACTTACAGAGTATCAAGAGCCAAATGATGAAAATCGGCCCACAGCTCCAGAGATAGTGCTGCCACCTGGAGGAGGTGGAGGGAACTCTGGAAAATCCTCATCTACTTCCAAAACTACTACAACTACTGCATATCCAGAGGGTATGACTTCATACATTTGTATATGCTACACTCATTCATGGGACCTGAAAATATTAAGTTAACCCCATGAGAAATTTGAACAAATTGGTATTATGGTAGCTTTTTAGAAAGCTTGAAAATTGGATAAAGGTAACTGTGCAAAACATTTTTACTTATAGAATATTACACAAGGAATTTAAAAATGCAATCAAATATAACAAAATGTTGGTCTTAAATGATTTTTCTAAAATCTCATTTAAAACGAGACTTCAATAAGATTTCAGAGCTACTTGGCAAACATCTATATAGTAATGTACAAAATGAACCAACTATACCTTTAAGCTTTATAAAACAGTATGACTGTGTTCCTATCATTATAACCATTCAGTAGTGTTTATTCAAATAAGTAAATCTTGTCTGTTACACCAATTAAAAGCAATCAGTTCTCAAGGAATTGGTTTGTGGAAAAAATCAAAAAGGAAATAAATGTCTGGTGTATCACAATACACCAACTATGAAATAAGTATGGATAACATCGAAGAAGAACAGTTAAATGAATATATGGCATTGGTTTATTTGTTCGACAGTAAATGGTATGAATTATGAAACCTTGAGTGCTTTACATTTTTTATGAAGCACTTCTGGTAGGGATTGATAATGAGATCATAAAATGCTGTATTCTGTATATCATGTTATACTCTCACGAGTATATGATATATTCACTGGAGTATAAAAGTGATATACAGATTGAGTTATTATATAATGTGATCTTATGCAAATCAAATAATAAATTGTTTTTCTTGGGCAATATCATATTGACACTAGGTCGCTGAGCTCCCTCAGTCGATATCATATTACCCTTCGGTCAATATCATATTGTCCCTTGGAATAAAACCCATATTCAATTCCTCCCAGTAAATAAATATAGGTTATTTACTGGGAGGGATTGAATATGGGTTTTATTCCGAGGGACAATATCATATTTTCCGAGGAATAAAACCCATATTCAATCCCGACCAGAAATAACCTATTTATTCCATAATACATTCCTCCTTAAAATGTTACATTTGGATAATGCTTTTATCAATTAGTCAAGGTTAAAAATAACCGGGAAAACTAAAAATAGGTTAATACGTTCCAATACGATTTTTGTCCCGGGGACAATACGATTTTTCCATGTAATACGCTTCAATACGATTTTTTCCCGGGGAGAATACGATTTTTTCATGTAATACGATTCAATACGATTTTTATTCCTTCATATTTCCCTGGGAAAACAGTAGTATTATGGAATAAACTATATTTATTTCTCATAATGTTGATACAAATGTATTTTAATATTTGAACTAATGTATTTTATCAGCTAATATTCTAATATACAACCATTGATTTGAAAATGGCAGGGATTTCAAATATTTGAATAATCAAGAACTGAAACAGCCACTGAAGTCAAATGAAGTGGTATCTAAATGTTTAGAATATTTTCATGAGGTGTTACATGAGCTGAATATAAAAAATGTACATTAGTATCCGTTGTACATATACATAGAAGCTGAAGGGAATATTTACATGTTCAAGTCATAAGTAAGAATAGCATTAAAATATATAGGAAAATTAGTAAGTTGGCTAAGTATGCTTTATATTAGTTCATAATGAACATTTTCAAATTCATCTACTGCTTGCTATGAGAATATATCATTACACTAATTTATGATTAAAACAAAATGAGATGATAACTTAAGTCCTAAATTATGGAATGTTTTAATTCGGGGTAGGTAACTGGTTGTTTTCAGTACTGTCAGTGAATCTTGACTTTTTCCATAAGTTTTCCAATAAATCCGTGGAAATCTCATATTTGGTATGAGTATGTCCTACCTAAATGTGAATATATCAGATATATCTACCCCAAACGATCAACAGAACAAGTTGTCCCTTACTTTTTCTCCTTCCCTAATTCAAAATATTGAATTTGATATATTCTCGAAAAGTAAAACAGCTTCATATTTAAGCATCTTCAATCCACATTTTTGTTTCTATTAATTTGTTTTCAAAATACAATATTGGATCAAGATTTCAACATTTTATTTATTACATGTTAGTTTTGTATTTGTTATAATGACAATCAGCATCAGTAGTAGTAATTGGTATTGTTAAAAGAATACTTAAAACATCATTAATAATTCAATGTCGATCATAGAATTGCATGTATACAATCTGCTAATTAACCCTGTAGAATTAACAAATTGCATTTTCAAGCTCAATGATTTGATGTGAAAGGTAACAAAACGAGAAATAACTTTTAATTGCATTGTGCAAAATAGATGCACTGTTTGATGAACACTGCCACTAGCGCTATCTTTAAATCTGCTTTTGATTTTAAATTGCCTTCAGACGATTTTAATAAAATTAACTGTAAATCTTTCAAAATAATATCATCTGTTTATTTTTAAACTACAGCATCAGAAATAACATATTTTTATCTAATTTCAGTACAAGCTGGGAATTTAATAAATGGAGGGAGTAACCATGGCAAGTATACGTCAATACTGATGGTTGTCTTAGCAGTCATGTCAAACATTTTCTTTCAATGGATACGGACATAATGGATGCAGAGGGGCCACCTAATGATGGGTTATGCACCTGAAAAAACCAAAGTGTCAATGAATGGAATGACATTTATTCCGAATGATTTATGCAGATGGGCAGCATATTCAGCATTAAAACAAAATTGGGATACAGTTATACCAGTTAATTAGGATATGCAAATCCATAATTTCAAAAATTCTTGGGCCTTCTTGGACAAGTAAAACATTGCTGATGAATGGGCCCGTATAACAATGCTGAAATGCAAGCTGCCATTGTCTATTCCAAAAATGGCCAAATTTATAAATACAAAGAAAATCATCTAAGTATAGTAGCATGTATAGTTAGCAAAAATGCACCAGTTGTACAGATCATTCATAATGTAATATGTTAAATTGTATGATACTTTATAATTGCATAATGAAGAATTTCAAAATAATGAATTGTTTAGGATAATTTATTTAACATTGTAAATGATGTTAACAAAGCATACAGGAGAGTGGCACATTGACAATCAATATAAATATTTGCGAGGCAGGGTCAAAACAAAGTAATGCCATCTTTTAAATCATAAATAAAACAGATTGATTCATTTTCTTCTTTCATTATTACTTTGGGATGAATTTATACAATGCTATTGCAAACTAAAATCATATAAACATTTGAGAAGTGATACACTTGTAACTCTATATTTTCTATAGTTCAGCTGTCTACTAAATATGAGCATACATTTACTTTGAAAAGCATATGATGAGGTAAATGAGTAAATGAATGTTGGTGAAATATAGGAAAACATATTATTTAATGCCAACCTTTACCATGGTACTATATTTATATCATGAAATGTTTACTTTAGGTTATGAAGCCCATGGCCAGGGGGAGGTTTGGGGTGTAAGCAAACCAATCCCCTGGTCCAAAATTCTTTCAAAATCATGCCGTTTTTCCCTATTCTGAGCACCCATCAAGTGATATGGGCTAAAGGTGTCAAAAGTGAACCCCTCCTGGCTATGGCCTTGGTTATAGGGAGTAAAGATGAGCATAGAACATTATCTTAAAAGTTGCTTTGTATAAATTTTGAAGATTCTGAAATTTTCTAGGATATGCTTTTTCAATAGGCTATAAACAAAAAAACACTCCAGTGAAAATTTATCTATCACAAATATACAGGTTTCTAATTTCAAATTTCAAAGCTGAAAATGTCACTTTTATCATTCCAAACTTGCTGTGCTTTACTAGAAAGATGTAAAAATAATGTAAACCTATTCAATCTTATACGTAATTGTAAATAATAAGCAAATATGTACATTTTCACTGTAAAAATACATATCAGTAGGTAGGACCTTGGACTATAGATACAATACTATATGATCTTAGAGATTAATTCTAATAGTTCTGATTTTCTTAAATATAAACATATTAATAGAATGTGTTTGTATTGTTAAAGAGAACAATGTATATAAAATATAAAATAAAGCTTTGTGTTTGCAATTTGTAATTCTTATATTGATGTTCATATTCTACAGAAACTTGCAGAAGTGATCCATGATAAAGCAACAGTGACATCTTTACAGAGATGCATACTGTGTATTGCTGTATCTGTTGCTTGATGGGGGTAATTAATGGTGGGGGAAAAGGGGTATTAAGGGGTTTCTTTTCACGTTAGATTATGGTTTTGGGATATATGGGGTTTGTTTTTCTTATATACACTTAGAGTTTGCTTTTTCTTGCCTGATTCTATTACAACTTTAAGTGCTTTCCCTTTGGCACTTTTGCTAAGATATTGATATATACTTCAGTTTACAAGCAGCTATTCAGGAAAGCACGCCTAGCTTCATGGCTTGCTGGTAAGAGATCCAAATGCTTGTTAGACCAGTCAAAATATGAAACAATAAAGTAGATCAAAAATATAATTTGTTGAACTATTTATCACACCCCTGGACTAAAGGATAAGCCATGAACAAACCTCGAGATGTAACTATACTAATGTAAATGGACCAATTAATAAATATTTAAAATGTGAGTAGCATGTAGATAAAATGTATCAATCAACCTCTATTCCTAATTTTTGGTGTCAGAGAATTGGTAGATGAATTAATAGGTGAGTAGGCCAAAGAAATAAATTATGAGTTTAATAGTTCAACTGACCCTATGGGAAAATTTGGTATCATAGCAAAGCTCAGAGAATTGTCTATGTCGTGTGATAAATAATTTGTGTTGGAATAGGTGTACTGCATTGTATCATATTGTATTGTATTGTATTGAATTGTTGTAATATAAAATATTAGTACAGGGTGGGCCAAAAAAACGCTACTTTTTCTTCAAAATGCTAAAACTTTTTTAATTTTTGATACAAAATCATAATTTGCATACCAAATGAAACTTGAGGTTGTTATCTAGCCATGGATCATGAATTATACACTTTTACTTGAATAAAATATGTCACCAGCGTCTCACTTAAACATGTGATGTGCCATGAGAAATAAGCATAATTTCCAAAATGTCCCTGAACTGATACGGCCTGATGATCGCCAAGCTAATAGCCCTGATGCAAAGCCCAGTGAGTATAGGGTATGGGAAGGTCTCCAGGAGATTGTATAAAGGCACCCAATCTAGAAAATTGCTCAACTTAAGCTGGCAATTAAGACCGGTTGAAAAAAACTTAGCTAACATTTCATTGATACTGCTATATCAGCAAGGCGACTAAAACTGAAATATATCATCAAAAAGGGTGGCGGACCAATTGAACTCATCTGTTAGATCAAATATAATCCAAGTTGAAGGACTTGTTACATTATAGTATTACTAAGAACCCCTGGCACTAAATAACTGCAAAGTTTGGGGTATGTAGGTTGGAAAATAAAAAAGTTGTAGTATCACGAAGAAAAGTGGCGTTCTAAGTATAGGGACAGTTGTCTATTAGAGAACTGACACTGAACTTGATTCACAGAATTTTGATCACATTGTCAACCGTAGACGCCATCTTTTCAATCAACGGTTATCTAAAAACACTTTGGTAAAAATATGCACATGCGACTGACAATCACTGAACTTGAATTAACACAAAGTCTATATTTTTTAGTGAATACGAATTTTAGAGTAATGATGCATAAAACATAAATTTTTCATTTGAAAACTACTGAGCATCCAATGACATTATCATAATCGTTGACATTTGGAGCCTGAGGACCAGTTACATTCATTTCTCTTGGAGTAGCTTCTATCCTATGACTAGGTGTTATTTACTTGGTCTTCGTTCTCCCTAAATTGAGTTGCAGGATCAATCATTGGAAACATATATTCATCTACAACAAGTCTATGTTTGGACAATGAGTAACAATTCCAGGACAGATAAAGAACCAACTTCTTACCTAGCTAAAACAAGAGAAATGGAAATGCACAAAAATGTAATCACATGACTTCTAGTATTTATAAGAAACATTGTTGTTTGGTTCCCCATTTTGCACATACTTCCATTCCCACCCTGTGATACTAGCGTTAAACTGTATGACATTTTTTATCATCATGTATCTTTAAGTGGTTCCATTTGTTACTAGTAAATACTATGCTTTTGTTAAATGGGCTTTTGCTGTGAGTTGCATTGTAATCTGGAGATACAATATCACTTTCTAATTATACATTGGCTGCATATGGTATGCAATTATACTTACAAGAAGTGGGCAGTTGCACCAATCTGAAGGTAGATGTAACATAAGGCAAGACTGATCTTCGTTTTAATTGTTTTCATCAATTGCTTATAAACCATATTTTAATAAAATTGGATAACTTAACAGGATTGTTTTATGATGGTTAATACTAGATATAAAATTTCAAGTTAATTATTAGACTCTAAGTTGTTTTGGTGGATTAATACTTATTTTGTAATAAACATTAATGAATGAAGAAATCGCAAAAGGATGATAAACATTCCAGATTTATTGAGAATAGGAGACACAAGGAAAATAGTGAGGAAACACACCTGAGATGGAAATTCCAATAGTATCACAAAATGAATGTCATAATTACTTATTCTGAGGTTTTAGCCACCATATATATAGCATTTGGAAGTACTAAAATGTAACTAGACTCAATGAGGAGAGAGAATCGCATAAACAGTTCAAAACATATTTATAGTACTGTTACAAATAAAACTGCATGGTAGGCATATCTGATTACTGAAACAAATATACCACACACCATTTTATCAATCTACATGCCATGGTTCACAACTTAAGTTGAAAACATGATTGCCATAATTTACCATAATGGCATTCAGTGCATTGTCTAACTAGGCAACTGTTTATTCTAAACGTATTGCCAAGATTGAAAAGTGATCAACACTTGCAGTCAGGCAGCTGTGATTTCATTCAAATCATTGTTACTTCATACTGGTATATCAATGAAGCATCATCTGTTTAATTAGTAGATGATAGCAACGCCAAGGTGTGGCAAATCCCAACAAACAACTAATGAGTGCCAGACAACACTGCTAGTAATCTCGATTGGATAATATAAATGAAAATAATATAAACAGATGACAAACATTTTAGATTTATTGAGATGGAAGAAACAACAAATGCTGTTGCAATAATCACCTTATTTGTCACACCTGTAGTTATAGCACTTGGCATGGTTGGAAATACTTTATCACTGTTGGTCATGCTACAAAAGAAAAATAGAAAAACAAATACAGGTGTTTATTTGGCTGTTATAGCAGTGGTGGACAACTGTCAAATGGTCACCTTGTTGACACATTGGCTATATGGAACTGTACTTATGGTACCATTACAAGATATGTATTGTAAAGTCTACACTTACTTTGCCGACTTCTGGAGTGATTCATCCATCTGGATCATTGTTATCATGACCATCGATCGGACTGTCGCCATTAAGTTACCATTAAAGAAATTCCTGAGGGCCCGTGTAATTAGTAGCAGCATACTCGGAGTGACGTTTTTCTTGTTGATCATTCGTAATATACCGTTTCTTATATATGGTTTCAGTAAAGTAGATGAGGTCACAGAGAGTGACATTTGCCTTGTTTATGACGCAAGTCTCAATTCAACAGCCGTTGTAATTCTACCTTTATTTGATGTTTGTTTCCAATCGATTATACCTTTTTTCATACTCACGACGTGCAATGGAATTATAATACATGCACTTAAAAAGAGGAAACAACAAGTTGCAAATCTTGGAGTGACACAAAATAACCCAATGATGAAAGCAAGAGCTGTATCTATTACAATGATGCTTCTAGTTATTTCATTCTCTGCATTAGTGTTAACTCTACCTTTAAACCTTCTCATATTTCTTGCACCCCTGGTTGAAAATGGGACAATAGACCCCAAGACATTTTCTATAATATTTGCAGTGTGTTTGCGACTTTATTTTGCAAACAATGCATTGAACTTTTACTTGTCCTTGATAGGTGGACAGAAGTTTAAAAATGATGCAAAAACATTGTTATGTAAGTGTACACCATCTCAACGTGAGACAAATAGAGTCACAAATGGAGAAGCAACTGTTGAATAGTTCCCAAATTATAAAGTCATTATTTAACCATAAGTTGATGCTCTTGGTTTCAAAACACATGGCTGGATGGAGTCAGCTTGTTTTTCATTTTAAATGACTTAAAATATAATGGTTATGTAATTGTAGGTTCTGGATACAGGGTTTATCCCATGAGACTGCAGGGATCAATAAAATACACATTTCTTAAGTTATAAACCATGTATTCAAATCTGAATTTATGTGAATCAGATGAATCCCATAGGTCCATTCTATCTGCAAAATAGATATCTAAAGTTTTGAACTTAAATTAAATCAAAAATATCAATTTTAATAGAAGATCTGATGAAGCGGGACCAGGGTGGATACAGCTGTTTATCCAGGACTTTAAAAATAGCATGATATTACAGATATATCCATCCCATTGCCAAGATAGTTAATCTATTCCCTCACATTATATACCTAGAACATCATTAGGTATCATTAAGGTATGAAATATCATGTGAAAATATATTCCAACCATTTATACCTCATATCTTAAATATCGCATTACATAACTCTCATATATTATAATTAGCACTTTATGTAAATAAATTATATAAACATGTATGGTGAATCGTTATAAAATCTCTATATTGTATATTTTTATGAAAAAAATTATCTTGTTCAATCAAGACTGGAGGAATATACAGTTGTAACAATTTGAAACCAATAGAGTGATCTCCCTCGATCTTTTTACCAACATGGTGTTAAATCCGAATTGTACCAGTTTTCTTCAAACTATCTCAATATTTCAGCCTCATGGCAAGGTGCAAACATAAATTTCAATTGCAAAGCATTTTCGGATTTTGGACAGGGTGGCTTGTTATTTTCATATTTTCAACAGAATGTAGCACCCGGTTGCTTTAATGCTGGGGAGATCATTGTAATGGACATGAAAATATTTTTAAATTGCTGACTAAAGTTAATAATCAGAATCTAATTGATTGTTTTATGGATACTTCAAATCAAAAATTCATAAATTCCATACAAATGGGATAAACTGTTTAGTCAGTAAAGTCACAATCATTGCCAGTGTCTGTCATCTTATGAAAGATGGTATCTAGTCAACTCAACCCCAAGTCAACTCAACCCAAGTCAAGTCAACCCTTAGTCAAGTCGACCCCAAGTCAAGTCAACCCTTAGTCAAGTCGACCCCAAGTCATCTCAACCCTTAGTCAACTCGACCCCAAGTCAGATTACTCATGAAAGATTACATTCCCTTCACATGGCCACCATTTCTCTACACAGAGATTGGCTCGTCTCTCAATGTCATGAATACCTCTTTGAATCATCTGTGTGAGTTAGAGTGTAAAGCAGCAACCCCATTGGTGATTCTCTGTTAATAGTTGTAATAGTTGGTCCAGAGCAGATTTTGGCCCGTCGTGCCAAAGTAATAATTATTCAGTGGTCTGAAGTCATATATGAATAAATGACACGTGGATTCATGGTAAATTAAATGAAATTGATATAATCATCATGGTTTTGTGGTTTTACAATGTTTTTGCTTGTTGCGTTTTTTTGGGACACACTGTATAATAATAAAAAAACATATTCAAGAAAGTTGTTAAAGACTAGAACTTAGAGAAAATTACTTTTAATGCCTAGTTCCCTGGTGCGCCATTGATCGTTTTGGTTAAGCTCTGTACAGCATCCTGTAAAAGCAATGTTCAATTCATTCTGTCGTCAACAATGTTGATGTCCCGCTGTAAAAAGAAATGCCATGATTAGTTAGCCTTGGTTTAGATAAAAGAGACAAAAGGCTTTCAATATAACTAATAACAATATAGTATATCTCAGAGACAGTCACAAAGAATGTCAAATAAGTATTAGGTATCAAAATCATCATGCCTTTTATATAGAATAAAACTGAACAATTTCCTGAATAAGTTTATCTGATCTGATCTCATAAAGATAAAACTAATGTTGCTTTTTGCAATTCCAAATACATGTAGATTATATTCTAGCAGAAATATAATAAAATAATAATGTGTACAGTAAAACCTGTCTAATCCGAACACCATTGAGATCGGCTTAAAGTATTCAGATTAGGAGGAGTTCACATTTTTAGGTTTTTGCATTCGCGAGATTCCCGATTCTGAAGAAATGTGAACACATTCTCAGCACATATTTCTAGTTCATTTGACCACATAGCTTTATGGCATTTCAGAAATTTGAAAATTCAATTCAAATGAATCTAGTCATGATGGAAAGCCCTATTATAATCAAGACGTATGAAACATGTGAAATTTTATGAAAAGTGTTCAGATAAGACGGGTCAATTTTTCAAATATGACTATTCACTGTTCAAATTGAGAGGTGTTCACATTTCAAGTTTTTTTAACATGGGAGTCCATGGGAGGAAAAAATGAGACCGAAAAAAATGTTCAGATTGGGAGGTGTTCGGATAAGCCAGGTCTTCAGATATACAATTCAGGCCGTCCAACTGTCCCGCAATTTGCGTATTTGTCACGCATTTGCTGGAAAATTTGAAGTCAGGCCATTTTTTTTTGCGTGACAAAATATGCCACGCAAATACGCATTTTACCTGATTATTGTCCAGCAAAAATATTCCTGAGAAAAAATTTCAAAAATGATCGGCAATACACCACAAAACCGAACGACCCAAAAAAACGAAAGCATTTCGTTCGGACTTTTCACGCAAATGCCGTATATGTCACGCATTTTGCCTGAAATATTTCATACCTCCCCCCCTCCGTTGATAGATTGGGAGCGTAGCGAGCGCGAAAAATGTGAGGTGTCCAAACTTTGATTATATAATATATGCAATCAAATTTAAACCAAGGTGCTCAAAATGTGGCCAAGGTATCAGATTTGGAGGGTAGGTACGGAAATTTTCGAACGGAATGCGTGACATATACGTAATTCGCGTGAAAAGTCCGAACGAAATGCGTACGTTTTTTTTCGGCTTTCGTATTTTTGCTGTGTAGACGAACTTTTTAAAAAAAATTTCTACAGAAATATTTTTGCTTGACAATTACCAGGTAAAATGCGTACTTGCGTGACATTTTCTGTCACGCAAAAATAACTGGCGTGACTTCAAATTATTTAGCAAATGCGTGACAAATACGCAAATTGCGGGACAGTTGACAGGCCTGAGACCCAAGGTACTAGAAAAGTATTTTACCATTACAATTAAGACTAAACCTATTAATTGTGTCCATCAGCATACTCCAGGTATACATAAAAACTATAAACTGCTGTCTAACAATTATACTTGACAATATTGATAGAATAACAAATTTCAGAATATAATGTATCTTCTCTCCAGACGCACATTACTTCAATTAGTGCATTGGGCAATTCTACTATATCTATTAATGAAGACCCTTAGCAACTTGAGTGCTAAAGATCAGAAGCCTTTCAGTAGGTTCACATAAGGTAAACATATTAGCCATGATCATTCTTTATGTGGAGATTAGTCTCTGAACATTTGAGCCAAATTAGTTGACTGTACTCACGGTGTTATAGCATGACGGTTACGCCACCTCTGAAAATGAGGTTGGACGGCTAAGTTCACTGACTTATCCGATAAAATGGCCGCGATGGAAGAGAAAACTAAGGTTGGTGCATTATTTTCTACTACTGTGTATCAATGAAAGGATGAACGATTTATGTTAGCGTCGCATTCGGTGATGCATTCAGTAATGTATATTTTGAACGTAGTCTTTGCAAATTGATGCCCGGGGATAACATGAAATAAGGGAAAACTGTCGAGTTTGAAATTCAAAACTACACAAAATTTAGTAATTTGTTTACATTGCCTAAAATCCTTGGGGTAAATAGATGTAACCTTCATACGATCATACAAAGCATTTTGAGCACCTAATATGTTCTACTCAAGCCATAATAATGTATTTTGAATTTGCGGTAACATAAAAAATTGATAGACGGTTACGCGAACCTGATTCAAATATGAAACCCCGATTCATTGTTATTAATTTTGTCATCTTCATCAGTACTTGATGCTAATTCTTCTTCTGCCTCTTCATTGCCATCTTTTACACTTTCATTGGTTTCATAAATAAAGCAAGCGAAAGCTTTTTTCCTTGCCCTATAGAGGCTGAAACAAGAGCGTCTCTTGCTAGTCCTTAAAACAAAAATATAGGAAATTCAATATTCCATTTCTTACCCATTATAACAATAACATGAAAAGAGGCCATCAGATCTACATGTAGCAACCTTGACTTGACAGATGTACATGCACGTAACCGTTCGCTTAATATCTTATGTACAACTAATACAATACGCTACCGTCCATAGAATCCGATAGAAGTCATACGTAGTCGTCGTTCTTCGACACTGCGTTTGAAACCTTATTATTTACGATATACACCACGTTCCTGTTCTGGATTTGTCATTTTATGCCTTTTTATACACAGTTTACTTACAATTAATACTTTGAGTCGCTCTGAGGCACAAGAATGGACCAAAAATTATGAACTTGGATATCTCAGTCTGTAGGTTTATAGCTTATATTCTGTTTCTTGTAGACCACCTGGCAGATTTGACCCAGTCTTTATAACCATCCACATATACGTCACCGAATGGAACTAGTTTAAAAGGAATCTTATCTGTGAATATTGCCTACAGGCGAGAAAGAGGACATGCTGCCTTTCCCATCCGCCATTTTTTGTTATCGTTACCGCAAAATTTTGCAAAGCGCCTTGAAGTAACCGTCATGCTATAACACTGTGGTATTTGAGTTATTGCCAATTGACAGACAAAGGAATGAAAGAATGGATGGAGGGATGGCTTCTCTTCATCCTTTTTAAATAAAACAACTGTAGCTTCATTAATGCTTCCAGAGTGAAATGAAACACGACATAAACACAACATGCTTAGGTTTCTCAATATTGTAATTGTACAAAGTAAATTTTGGTTGATTTTAAAAAAGTATCTTGTTAATGAAATAAAAGGGTTTTCTTGATTTTTATCTATTTTGGGGGGATTTTGTTTTAATTTTTTGAATACTTTTTTAAAATCAACCAAAAATTCCTTTGTATAACTTTAATATTGAGAGGTAAAAAAACATGTTGTATATACTATTTTGTTCCAACAAGGTTCGGAAAGACATTTTATTTCATTCTCAAGAATTGGTAGAAAGGGGCAAAAACAATTGCACTAAAAAAACAAAAAGTGTTAACAA